GTGTGTGTGTGTGTGTGTTTTTGGTTTCGGCTGCGAAAGGTGAACCGTCTCTGAAAAAAACTTCTTATGGTATTCGCAGTAGTATCTGAATACTTGGCCCATCTGGGGCTGCTGAGGTACCAGGGTCGATGTGCCATTCTCGAAAGACATTCCAAATCCTTGAGCTATCTCCCTTTCAGGGCCCGCCCCTTCATGAAACCCTATGGGTCCAAGTACCCAATAGTCATGTACTTACCCAACACCTGTACTATAATTACTATTACCCATATCCCAAGTACCTAATTAGTTTTACATGGACTCTTAGGGAAAGGGAGGGGATTACTTGTGTTGCTGGCGAGGAAGTGGCCACGCTGCGCCAAGCGAACGCTGCGCAACTGGTCTGTGGGATCCCCAACGCGGTTTAGGGTTTAGGGTTTAGGGTTTAGGTATGACTAGCTGGGTAGGCCCCTGGGATATTTAATATTTTCCCTAGATGGCTTTAATAAGGGACCCTATATACTAATATTTTTCAAAGGGTTTTAGGTGCCAACCCAGCTAGAGTTGCGAAGGTCTAGTGGATTAGTACGGTTGAGGGTTTAGCAAAGTTGGAGACAAACAGCAATAACGGCAGTATAAGAGCAGTAGGACAACTGATCATCGTAGCTATACTGATGATATTCCAATGAAAGAGGCTCCTGCGGGTGAGCCCGCAGATGGGCCCAGGCAAAAACCCGGAAATGTAATCAGGCCTTAGTAGCAGAATAAGTGCACTTTGGGATTTTCGTGGGTTCCTAAACTCCGGCGAGAATAGACATCCTGACAGTTCTGGTTGGACCAGGGCAATTTTATGGGACATAGCCTCACGTCAAGAGATGCGATGGACTTAAGACAATTTTTGCTGGGGCTTAGTAGGGAATAGCGGAATGTAATCCCTGTATAACCCCTACATGATATGTTCCCGTCTTCCCTACTACGAACCAATAAGAATTTCAGGCGGGCAGTTTCCCCCCTCTACGTTTTACACAGCTCGTACATACCTCCTAGTCTCCTTATATAGGCCTTACATAAGCCCTATGCAAGGGTACCCTCAAACCCTACGCCCGTAATTGTTACAAACAGTGTGCTCATAGGCTCATAGGTTCCCTTATATAGATTTGCCACAGGTTACGTCACAAAGTCGTGAACATGTTGCTGGTAATTATTCCGGCCCCTATAGTCCCAAACGTATCTAGGAGCACTGGGCGCTGAACCCTGAACCTTTACGCTGCCCTAATCCCTAAACCCTTAGACTACCCTTAGCCCTAGAGCATTAAACGTAAGCGCCAAAGCCTTGGCCTACGCCCTGAGCCGTCTCGGAGGTTCATCCATTTTTTCCAGGGAGGGTTGTAAGATGTTAGAGGGTTAGAGTTTTAGGGCTTCACGGTTTAGGGTCTAGGGTTTAAGGCTTTAAGGGTTTGGGGTGCAACATGTTACAAGTACATCGCAGGAGGTTATGATCACTTCTATCCAGCTGAGCTAGAGTCTGAACTCCTTAAAGGATGGTGAAGTAGGGGTTGAAATGAAGAACTGTAAGAAGAGTTATTAAAGGGGATATTAGGAGTTTAGACTATACCTCATAATAGTCTCCCCACTTAATACCCCAGTTCTTGCTACCCATGAACTTTGGAGTGAGCCCTAAACCGAAAGTTGAAACCCTAGACCAGTTGCAGCAGTCAAGCAGACCCAAACGAGGCCGGGTCCTCCTCACGCACATGTGCCTGGCTCAGATGAGCTGTAGTCTAAACTCCTTAAAGGGGGTTATATAGGGTATTATATAGGGGACTACTATAAGGGATATTAAGGGGGATACTAGGAGTTTAGACCATGGCTCAGATGTTTGGTTGCCATGCAAAATCAACAGGGGCTTTGGGGTTTAGGCTTTAGGGGGTTTTGGTTTCCAAAGGCCCTCAAAGTGAGGACCCTGTGTGACTATCGCGTGACTGTGCTGAGGCCTTTATTTTAGAGGTTGGGGCGACCGAAATCCTAATGCAACCACATAGTTGTTTACATGCCGTTACCATGTGCTACTGCCATCTGATTCTTCATTATTGGGGTAATATATCCTTACATGTGAATAGCCCTTTCAAGCCCTATATAGCCCCATATATTCCTAATATACCTAATATATCCTTACATGTGAATAGCCCTTTCAAGCCCTATATAGCCCCATATATTCCTAATATAACCACTATCGATGCAGTATCTGAGGCTCCACTTGTGGGCTGTTAGTAGGGTTTGGGGTCTAGGGCTTAGGGAACCAAATGGAAGAGCACATTGACCATGAAATGGCAACTGGGGGGTTTGTGGGACATAATGGGGTTTACGTTTCAGGATTATCTTGCTGGTTGTTAGCAAGAAAGAAAAGAAAGCTAAAGAACAAGGCAATCACGAGATCTTTGAGCTATATGAGCCATAGTTTAAACTCGCTCTTCATATGAGTTTGCGCTTTGATGGGTGTAGAACTGGACGTCAAGGGGTTAGGGTTTAGTACTCTGAACCCTTAACCAAATCACAAACTGGAGTGTCTGTCCAGGTAAGCTGACACCATAGCTTCCCTTCAACGAGCTTCGCTGTGAAAAACGAAATGAGGTCGCCCCTAAACCCCAAACCCTTAAACCCCGAACCCTAAACCCCTCAACCCCTAAATCCTAAACCCTTAAATCCCGAAACCTAAACCCTGAACCCCTAAACCCTAAGCCAAGCATAACAGGGTCCTTGCCTCCCCCTGGAAGCTATTGATGTTAAATAGAGAGATAATCTAAACGCCTTAAATGGGATTTCTATTCATATATGTGTATATGTTAGGGCTTGGGGGTTTAGGGTTTGCGGTTTAGGGTTTGGAGTTTAGGGTTTGCGGTCTAGACTGCTTAACGGGTGGTCATATAGGGGATTATGTAGGGGCTATATATTATAGGGTTTATGAAGGGGATACTAGGAGTTTAGACTATGGCTTACATAGAGACAACGGAAAAGACATAGGGGCTCTATAGCCCCAATCAAGTGTACCAGGAGGGTCCTGCTAGGGATTGTATGTTTTCAGACACCTAAACCCTAAGCCCTTAAACCCTTCAACCCTCAACCGTTGAACCTTTGAGCCCTAGACCCTTAAAGCCTGAACCCTTAAACCCTAGACCCTCAAACCCTTAAACCCTTAAACTCGTAAATCCTAAGCCCTCGAGCGCCTGTGTGCCAAGGCCCAGTTGGTTGAGATCTTCTCCCGAGCTGCCCTCAGCCCTGCAAGATACATATTTCTAAGGGTCCGAGTACCCAATAATTAGGTTGGGTTTTGGGTAACAGTAATGGTAATAGTAGTACAGTTTTGGGGGGAGTATATGAGTATTGAGTACTTGGACCCTTAGGGTATAATCTAAACTCCTTGAAGGGGTCTCTATATATATGTATATAAGGGATGATATAGGGACCTACTACAGGGATTATTAAGGGGGGATGCTAGGAGTTTAGATTATGGCTCGTATGAGCTATGGTCTACAGTCCTCAAAGGGGGTTACAAAGGCGTTTGGGATTTACGGTTCAGGGTCTAAACTCCTTACAGGGGGGCCTATACAGGGGATTATGTAGGGGACTATTATAGGGCTCATGAAAGGGGATACTCAGAGTTTAGACCAT